GCTCTGTAGCGAAAAGGTTTCATTGGAAGCCGCCACGTGATACAGCAGTTAGTGTTAAGCGTATAATCAAGGACAGGGTGAAGGTTGGTGTGTGTGTGTGTGTGTGGGGGGGGGGGTAGAATTAGTTTTATGATTAGTGGCGTGGGTTAGAAGGTGAATAGTTGGAAGGGATAGAGTTAGAACTAGGTGTAGGGGTTAGACTTCGGATTAGGATTAGGTGTGAGGTTTACGATTGTCAGATTGTCCGGATTGGAGTTAGGGTTACGATTAGGGGTGCAGTTTATGGTATAGATTAATGGGAAGGGATAGAATTAGAATTAGGCGTAGGGGTTAGGGTTAGGGTTAGCGTTAGGCATATTGTCGAGATTTATAGTTCAGATTAAGACGTAGGCTTTTCACGGCATTTAGACCAGCTGTATATATGTAACCAGGACAGTGTCTCTATATCTACCTTTATATAGTTACTTATACATATTATCTAGCCGTATACACCTACCTGTTTATATCTAGCTGTATATATATCAATCTGTTCATATATACAAAAGATTTTTATGTATCTGTATATATCTACCTGAATTTTCTACCTGGATTTTCTACCTGTATGTATCTATCTGCGACCAGGTTCGTTCCAAGAGATCAACAACTACGTGGTGGCGCCGAGCGATGCGCGTCTGCTGCCGGACTCTCCCGCCTCGCTCGTGTCGCCTTACTATCGCCGCTTCGGCTACCGCGGCTACATCGTCATCGCCTGCAAGATCCTCGAGGACAGCGACACGCGCGACTTCGAGGCGATGTGGCAGGGATGGACGGGCGCCGGCTACATATCGAAGAAGATGCCGCGCCAGTTCGGCCTGAACAAGATCAACCTGTACAAGCGCCGCTCGGCCGACAGGACGTTCATGTACGTGTGCATCGTCGAATGCGCTAACATTCTCGACCCGGGTCTCAGCGTGCGCGTGCTGCAGTTCGTCGAGGCGTTCCGGCTGCGCATCAGCTGCTACACGGCGCTGTACAAGGCCGAGAACATACGGCGCGCCTCCGACCCGGAGTCCTACTCTAGCCACAGCGGCAGCGCCGTGTCCGACGAACGAGCGACCTCTAGCGTCGGGTAGCTACCCCTCATTCACCCACCCCATGCACGCGCGCGCGTCGTCTCCTCTCGCGGCCACTAGATGGCGGTAGGTTACCGTGAGGTAGTGGCGGCAGCTGCGGCGGCGGCGGCGTGTTCTTCGATTGCTGGCACGACGGACCGGCCAGGCTGGCGGGACCAACGTCTCTGTGATAACCCTTGCCTTGCTGGTGTTCCCCCCTCCCACCACCACCACACCGATATCTATGTGTGTTCGTTGCATGTTGTCGGCTCGGCGGCGGCAGAGCGAGGGGCGTGGCCCGCGCCCCCGCCTGCTGCCAATCAGATGTCGCACGTCATCAGCGCCGCGCCGACAGCACGGGGGCTCACCGAGAGCCTGCGCCGGTCCCGCACGAGTTGTGCTCTCCGTTGCCATGACAACGGCTTTTGTTACGACGGCGGGCGCCGGCTTACGTAACCGTGACGACGGTGCTCCTCGCGTTGCGTAGCCATGACGACGGTGCTGCGCGCGGCGGTCGCTCTACGTAACCACGAAAATCTTATGGAGGTCGTTTTTACGTAACCATGACAACAATTGTCCTCACAGAGGGTCACTCTACGTAAACATAACAATTGTGGTTCTCACGACGGTTGCTTTACGTAACCATGACAACGGTGGTTGTTCCAGTGTACGTTTTATGTATCCATGGCAACTTGTTGGGGCGCTCTACTTAATCATAAGAACGGTAATAATGATTAATATAAACGCTCTCTGTAACCATAAGAAACATGGCGATGATGGTATTCAGATGAGCGTCACTTATGTAACTATGGCAACAGTTGTTCTTGCTGCTAATGTTCCACATTTCGGGATCCCCGCGAGACTTCGCCGCTTGGAATGACGTATATACGTGCTGTCTGGTGTGGAAAGCACATGTTTGGTCATATAGGTATACTTATTATGGAATTATCATTACCAGGGACATGGGTGCATGATTATGTACTTTACCGTATCTACCCTTTATGGACTATTGCTACTTGGTGGCTGGTGCAATTACCGTATATTGCCATCAATCAGCGTGTCAAGGTCGTTTGACTTTGGAGTCTCTACTGTGATGTGCCTTGATCGCAGAAAAAATCTGCATACACACGATATGATGTCACCATGACGTCATTGCGATGTTATCGTGACGTCATCGTGAGATACTAACACTAACAGACGAAGTTTCGCTGCTGGTGCCAATATCGCTGACAACTAAAGTTTGTGCCTGTCTAACTGAATATAGATGCACTTATGCAGATTTTCTATGGAAAAATGTAAAAGAATAAGGCACTAAAATACATTTTGAAATGCATTTATAATAGTACGCTGTACATAGCTTGGTGCACACACTGAGCTTAGCAATTGTGTATGATGACTAGAAGCAAAAGGTGACGTTATTGCAACTTGTGTCAGATGTGACTAAACTAATAAGTGACAGGAGGCAATGGCCTTGATACTGGAGCTTTTGGTCCCGCTAAAGCCTTTCCAGGTGTTCCTATGCGCTCAGATTTTCTTTGTAAATTCGTTGCGTTTCCACAGGATATTTCGCACTTTTTTTTCTCTCTCTCTCTCTCTCTCTCTCTCTCTCTCTCTCTCTCTCTCTCTCTCTCTCTCTCTCTCTCTCTCTCTCTCTCTCTCTCTTTCTCTCTCTAGAGATAGAGATCGAGCGCGCGCTAGAGAGAAACTAGTTTCTCATTACAGGCATGATTTTATGGTGCTCATTGCTCGTGTTTATCCTAGCACTGTTAGCCTTTATTGGTTGCGTATATGTAAATGCACAGAGAGATGTAAATAGATTTTGACTCGATATAGGAATGAAGTGACTCGTTATGAAGGTTCCTTATGCTCAGGTGCCACGGCCATGAATTGTTGATTCTTTTGTTTAGGTTTCCTAGCTATGAATTGTTAATTATTTGTTCAGGTATCCTAGCAAGGAATTGTTAATTCTTTTGTTTAGGTATCCTGAGCACGAACGGTTGTTATAAATAAATCATAATACCCAACCACACAGAGACCAGTAGCACACTGAATGTTTGAACATATTCATATACACACAGTTTAAATAGACTGATGGCAACATGAATTGCTGTCCATTCCCATTAAAAATGTACTCAACGAATTAATTGATTATATTATGAGTTATTCAGTTATATTATAATCAATGGCACATAAAGTTTCTTAACCATCACAAGCGAGCAGTTAGCAATAATAGATAGTGACCTAATTCAATTACATTACATTTGTATCAAGTTTCCACTTGACAACATAGAAATGGAGAAACGATAATCCTATTACCATCTTTATTTTTTTTTTCGCAATTTTTAGCAAAACGGTCAATAATAATGATGCATATGATATTTTACCATATCAAGATTAATCTTGAGTCCTTGACCGATGATAGTATTATCTTACGCAATAATTGACAAATATATAATCACATTTTTACATTTCGCAACATCATTGTCCCACATTTATTAATCCGATACATTTCAAATATTACAAATCATTCAGTCCTAATTGCCAAATAATAACAACACATTAATAATTGATTAGTAAACAACAATAGAACCACCACACCGTGCCAATCCCTCACCACTTCTAATACCCCAAAAAGAAATAAATTATATCCTCTCATAATAACAACAAAAATAACAGGAGTACACGAAAAACTTGTCGATAAGGAGTACCGGTAATTAACCGGTAAATTCATGGTCTGGCGGCCAACCAGTTCAACGAAAAAAAACCCGATTACTTAGACAGCTCAAGTTGTAAATACTTACGGGGGTCTGCACCCGTGTCTAGTCGCTCACACGCTGAGCCAATCGCGACGCAATTCGCGTTAAATTTGTTGAAGCATACACACGGATGACCGCCAAACCTTAGATTTTCCCTTTCCTGATGCTGTCAGGATTAGAGGGTTTCATATATGTGGCAATGCAGGGCCACAGCAGTGACAGTCCCACCTGTTACAGGTACACCTCACAGATACGCAGGCACCACTACGCGAAATCTACACGCCGTCGAATACCCGTCGGACACGACGCGTCGTCACGAAGATCGAGAATGAGATATCGCGATCACAAGAGCGGCGGAGGTTAGTACATCGGTGGGTGGGCGGGTGAAGGACAACATGCGTTGGCGCAGTGCCAACTAAACCGCCAACCAACTCTTCCCACTCATAGTCTCGCTGAAGAAAAATTACACTTGCAAACGCGCGGGGGCGTATCGTCATATGACGTCATCGAATCACGTGTACGTCGCGTGACACTGAATCGCGCTTCGTCACGTGACATCACTGAATCACACATTGTCACGTGTCATCATCGAATCGTCTGCTGTCATGGTGACGTGAACAGGACATTTCCGAATAGGAAAATACGTGGGAACTATAGTGCCTGTCGCGTTATCGCGACACCAGACATCACGATCACCATGGATACGACAGTGAAAACGCTCGCTGATCACAGGCAGATGGCACTGATAGCGCCGAAAAGCATCACCGGACCTAGTTATTGAGTGACCATTATAAATGAGCTTCTATTTACTTCTCTGTACAAACGTTACATCACTACGGGCAAGTTGCCCCCAAATTACTCTGATAGAAGACAATATTCGAGCTAAAGCCACCAAAAACCCATGTTTGAATGATGTCAGTAACCTGTTGTTACTCGTCAACGTAGTCACTGTTACACAAACAAACACCTATCAAGTTACAGCTAAGATACTGATATAAATGGTCCTAGGAAGAACTGTTTCTTGGATTAACAGTTTACTGTTACGACCCTGGTGAGCCAATAGTTGTCCCGAACTGTGTCCGGTCGCACACGTTATGTGGTTGACAGCGAGATTTTACCAACACGTCTCTTCCTCCTATGTTCCTCTGACCTTCCACAGGCTACTAGTGCCCTCTACTGGCATTTTCAATTAACTGTAGCGGTCCTGAAAGGAAAGCAAAGAGAAATTCAACGTAATGGAATCCGAAATGAAAAATTGTACATTGGCAAGACTTTATATACACCACTAAATGTAAGTTAGCTTTCTGCTATTATCAGCGATACTGTTGTTGATAAATCGAATGACAACCCAAATACTGTCGTCCCACCAATATAGTGCCACAGAATTCACACAATCAATGGTTAGTGACCCCATCTATTCACGTTACCTACTCAGCTACTATACAGTGTCAACAACTAGCTGAAAAAAGTTCACCTGTATGGTATTAACGACGCTGTTTGCCATCGTCGACAGTCTTCCCGCCATCTTGGTCACACCGTCCTTCATTCCGTCCTTGAGCCCCGAGATATCGGGCGCCATGTTGCCGTAGTCGTACGACGCGCGTTGCTTGGTGGGCGTGCGGCCGTCGTCGAAGTAGTCCGCGCTCGAGATGCCCTTGCTGCCTTCAAACCTCTGCAGGTTCTGCCTACGTTCCCACTGACAAAGAAAAAAAAACAATGCGAGAGTTTACTCCGGAAACTAAGCAGAATTACTACCGAACTCGATGGAATTCCAGTTAAACACTTACGTGGGTGGGTCGCTTAAGGGCGACTCCCCTAACAAAAACGTTCGTTTATGGACGGTGTTCCGATTCGTAAAAGTGGCATCACTGTACTGCCACTTTAGGGAAATACTATAAGTGTCATTTATAGACAGGTATCTGTGTCTGCTAACACTGGTTTGTCTGTGTTATGTAATTATTCAGAATTATCTCCGCATTGTTAGATCACAATTCTGACAAAATTATACAGAATTGCTAGAATTTGTAAACTAGTGACTCTTACATTCATGTTATTATCATCTGCAAAGTACTGGTCAGATGATATGGACTTGGCACCACCAAATTTCTTCTGCGCTGTACCGCTGTCATTCACAGGATCCACGGACTTACGATTCCTGCCCGACCTGACAGAAAAACAGTCCAGGTGAACACCTCACTCACGCTAAAACATCGTACACCTGACGCCCTACCATCTCATCCCATCCCACCCTACCTCACCAAATCTAACACCCTTCTATGCCACCCAACCCAGACCAATCTAATACCCTTCCATGCCACCCTACCCTGACCAATCTAATACCATTCTAAGCCCCTATACCCTACCCAATCTAATACCATTCCATGCCACCCTTCCCTGACCAATCTAATACCATGTTAAGCCACCATACCCTACCCCATCTAATACCATTCCATGCCAGCCTACCCAGACCAATCTAATACCATTCCCAGCCACCATACCCTACCCAATCTAATACCATTCCATGCCACCCTACCCAGACCAATCTAATACCATTCCATACCACCCTACCCAGACCAATGTAATACCATTCCTAGCGACCATACTTTAACCAATCTAATATCATTCAATGCCACTCTTCATTAACTAATCAAATAACATTCCATGCTATCGTACCCCACCCATTCGGATCCCAACCTTCAACATACCACCCGACCCTCTTCTATCAAGTACCTGGCCTCAGTGTCACGTTCCGGTTTAGGAATGGCTTCATCAAAGAATGATCCGGACCTTGGCTTCTCCTCCGTCTCCCAGGAGTCGGCCTTACTGTTGAACCGACTCTCTTTCTTCGGCCCGTACAGGTCATCTTCTAGAGTGTAGCGCCCTCTACTGCTAGAGAATGGGTTATCATTGTACCTGGTGATTAGAGAGGATGCATTGGCGGTGAAGGATCAAAGTACATTCAGACGTAACGTCATCAACACACTGCTCTAACATACTAACCAAATGCTTAACAGGCCATATTAAACAATGCTTACCATGCTATGCTACAGTATACTAATCAATGTTTCCTAAACTATATTAATTTAGATACTTGCTGTGCTGTACCAATGCTTGCTGTGCTGCACTTACTTTGGTGGACCGGATGAAAAGGATAGCACCTCAAAGTCTTGATCGTCGCTGTCGCAGCGACCGCGAGATCGTCCCGCGACTCGCTGCTGGGAGATGGGAGTCTCCTGTTCTATGACCTTCATGTCAGAGATGGCAGAATGACTCACACCCCTGCAAGCAGAAAACCACGGTTACACAGACGTAACCACACACCCCTGCCAGGAGAAAACCACGTTTACACAGACATAATCACACCACTGCAGGGTAAAAACTATGGCCACTACTAAGGATTAGTTAGCAAGCTACCATGTCTCAGGGTTCTCCGCAGAAATTCCTAAAAGCACGCCAAGTAATCGGGCAATTCATCCCCGCCTGCTAATTGGAGTTAATTATGCATGTCACAAGCAGCCCTCTAAACACAGGTGAGCTCGATCAGATTGGAAATGTATACATCAATTTTAGAAAACACAGCATGACTGTGTTAGGATTGTAAAAAGTTAACACAGCTGGAAATTAATGCATGTTGATTAGGCTATCAACACATGCAGGATTTATGGGACACCGCAAATTAGCTGAAGGCATGTCGCATGCGACATGCGTCAAGGGCACGGGGAGAACACTGTGTCTGTATATTACGTACTTGGGAGCACCCAGTCCACCCATGCCCAGTCTCTCCATCTGTTCAGCCTTCTTTGGATCAGTCTGCTTCATCTTGTGTTCTTGTTTCTTCCTCTCCATGCTTATATCTTGGTAGACGAGTCTCATGGATGCACTGTAATAAACAGACACACTAACATCTTTGTTTTCACACACGCATGCACGCACGCATGCACACACGTGAAAATAGAAGAAAAGCCCAAGTTCCAAGAGACCAGATCAGGTATATGCATACACAACTGTGAACATACGCAGATGCACAACTTCACTGCAACTAGCAATGCTATACTTACCCCTGCGCTTCTTCTTCTTCTTTGCTTCTGGTTTCCGTAGTAACGGACATGGACGACGCAGCTTTTTGTTCGTCTGCCAACTGCGCCTGTTTCTCCAGTTTGGAGAAATCTGTCTTCACCTTCTGAGCTCCGAACCCTCCCTTTCTGGCCCCCAATCCCTGAAAAATGGCAGCAACATTGATCAGTTTATACAAGACCTTCTTTGTAACTGAGATGCCAGGAAACAGCAGTGGCTGGCAGGTTGTCTTGGATCAGTTTTTCGTAATCTACAGCTATTAGAATCGTCGCATGTGAATGCAAGGGCTTTACATGCCATGCTATACATGCAGCGATGGTTTACACACCTGTGTACTGCAGCCCCACGCTGCCAACTTACCGACTTGCTTGCTGGTTTGCGAGCGCCAATGGTTGACTTTCTTGGTTCAGCTTTTGCAAGCGCTTGCGTTGGAGAGATGCTTAGTGCTGCCTGCACACTGGGGCCCTCCGTTGGGTCTGCAAAAAGAACAAATGAATGTGCAACATCTTCCAGATAAAGATAATAATAATATTTGTAATTTAATAATATTGAATTTGTCTGAACTGGCACTCGTACAATTTCTCCTGATCCAATCAACACTTGCAAATTTCTTGTCGCAAATTTCCTATTGTGCAGCACTCTATGAGAGTAGCGCAGAGATGCTCACTTGTTGTTTGCGACAAGGCTTGCCCATTCTTGATTGGCTGTGGTATGGTGGAAATGCCGTTCTTTAGACTGTCCCCCTCATTTTCGGCGTGCTGTGAGAAGAAATCTATCTCCTTCTGTTCGGGAGATGTTGGCTCGTGGTGACTGTCTATGTTCAACTGTAGATTAAAGGAGCATGAGTCATTCTAATGATACTCAGTGCTGGTAAAAAGAAACAAGCAATGAAATGGATTCGGTATGCATGCTACTCCTTGACATCATAAATTGGTCGCTATTGGTCACTATGAATGGGTTTTTATACATTTGACAAGCATACGCATTGTGCTAGAGCCAGGAACTTGCTAGAACGACCCATGAGGCCACTACTCCTTTGAGCAGATCCTATCTACATGTACTGCAAGTATGTACACAGAATGAGTGTGTGCACACGTGCATGAGTGCCCCCCCCCCCATGAGTGCCCCCCCCCCCCGTATGTGCATGTACATGTACAGTACCTGGGTTCCGTGAAGCCTCATGGCCTGTGAGGCGAGATGGTGCACCTTATCCTTGTAGAGCTGTGCTGTTCTACTCGAGTACTTCTGCTTTGAGTCCTTAGTCGTGCAGTTGTGTTGCGTGAAGAATGCAGTCTGCAAAATTCAAACAAATGTAAGACTTCTGTACGCACAGCTGACACTAAGTACTCATGTGTGAAGGAATACTTATACTTCTATGTGTTACTGTTATTTACCATGCTTTCTAAAAAAATAATGCAAGCTGTTACTTAGTCACTAATATTTTTCTGACAACTCAAAGACAACTGTTGTTGGAGAAATTCAGTCAAATTCATGTAATTACCAGCTGGTGACAATAAATTTTAAAATCTGGTACATTGTACCATGTTTCCCATGTCTGTAACAGACGGCCCACATACAGTGATCTGGCAATCCTGGACTTCCTAATATAATTTTCTTGATTTTGCCAAAGATGCGCTAGTATACCCAGCTTCTAAAAAATACCAGGGCATGATTGATTGGCACGATTTGATACGAAGATTGACAAATCATGTCGACTGACTACGGTTAAACTTACCGCATTGGCATTTCCTCCGACCTGCATTGCTCTCAGCTGCAGCCATGTCCAGTTAGTGTCGAGCTGTGTTGACCGGACAAAGGACAGGTGGACGCCGAGTGACCGGTGAATGGCCGAGCAGTCGATACAGATGAACACCCCGTAGGTGACTGTTGCCCATGTCGGGTTGTTTGTACCACAATCAAAGCACACCTGTAGAAACGTCATACATTTATATTATCCGCGCAAATGCTAGATACACTTTTAATATAATTGTATAAATGCTGTGCAATTATTACATTAAGAAATGCTGACACGCATTTCATGCAATTGTAATAACGCTATGTAGCTAACACATATAGAAATGATATAGACTGTCATCTGACTACATAAGCATTATACACTTAGTCTTACCAGCTGTAAAAATACTGCAGGGTTATCTGCTGTAGAAATGATTTACTCTCATGTTACACACTAATCACTTATAGATATATGCTACAGACTTGCACTACCCTGGTTAATAGGTGAAACACAGGTGAATGAAACGCTTTCAGACAGAGTTTGACCTAAATTTATAACTGGCAATTATACCACTGTCCTACATCTGTAATGACCGCACTGTGCACTGCAATAATTGGCATGAACATTCCTTACCATGCAGAGAGCCAAACTATATAAATGGTCTTTGTTACATTTATTATTAGATACCAACCCATTGATCGATTGTAGATTACACACAGTGGTGTATCTAGGGGGGGGGCAAGGGGGGCACGGGCCCCGGGCGCCATGTTCAGGGGGAGGCGCAAAAAAAGGCAAAGGTAAAAAAAAATGCAAAAAGGCAAAGGAAAAAAAACAATCTGCCTACTAAATGATAACTTAAAATAATTCAATCCTTTATTTGACAAGTTGATTACCCAGGGGCGTGTACAGAGGGGGTCCAGGGGGTCCGGACCCCCCCCCTGCTCGCGCAGAAAACGCATCTAAGGGGGTCTAATTTTAAAAAAATTCTGGGGGAGGGCCCCCTCAGACCACCCTTCGCGTTGTCACAAGTTTGGGTTACGGTTAGACCCCCCTTGTACAAATCCTGCACACGCCCCTGTTACCTGGACCTGGGATAGTAGCTGTAGTTTAGAAGTATTGGCATCCTAATCTGAGGAACAACCAAAAACTCAACATTCCATTTTTTTCTTCATTTTTTTCATTGGCGTCAGAAGTTGGAAGGGGCGCAATTTTAGCACTTGCCCCGGGTGCTGTTTTTCCTAGATACGCCTCTGATTACACAAGTGATTATGATAAGTGATAGGGAACCTTTCAATAAATAAAGTGACTAATAGAAGCATGTACCAAGATACTTCAAGACATAAGAAACATTAGATAGGTAGATGAAACATTTTAAGGGGAATGGGGTGATATCATTGGAACTTATAGTGCGTGTTGAACTACCAGCTACCTACTGTCAGTACGGATTAGGCACTAAGGCTCTTGTCAATTTTTGGCAGCAAAAACACGAGAATCAATTCAACAGCACTTCCTGCTGCGAATGGGCACGCATCAATTTATAATGGAAATTGCTCGACTCAGGTCAAGGGATAATCTTCCCACCAGTTTTATGAGTGGAATGATCCAGAATACACCACAAACAATTAATACTTGGACAAAGTATTGGTAAAAAAAGGTGACAGTCCCCCTCTTGCTTAATGAAGCCTGTTCGCTGCACCCGCTCATCTGAGCGTGTTCACTGTTTTCGGCATGTACAAACTTCTAAGGATACTTTTAAGTTTAGCTTCTTTGTCTCTGTGATTCCGTATTGGAATTCACTTCCTTCATCCTAAAGTAAATAGCAAATTTACAACCTTCTCTGCTGCGATCCGCAGTGTGGATCTACCAACTTGATCCACTTCTCTCTCCATCTTCGTTATACTTATAATCCCCAGAACTTTTGAAGATTAACACTTATGACTATGATAGTATGAGTATGAGGTTATGAGGTACTTATATAGTGACTAGTGTGTTTGGAGTTCCAACTTCCAGTTCCACCGCCCTAAGCTATAATAATACTTCCGCCATATAATACTTGTTGACAGTTGTGTATGTGCGTGCCTGCACATCCTTAGGCGACTCGCGCCTTAATTTACCTCAGCGGACATCCTGACCACACTAGCACAACTGAGACATCAACCCATGATCACGTATGCCAGGATTGAATGAAAATACGATTCCGGGTGGTGACGTCGTAACAATTTACTGCTGAAAAACCTTGCCCTAATGAGCATTTTTTAGCACAAAATATTACATCTTGAGTTTCCTCTAAACATATTCACGCAAAACAACAACAAACACTTACCTTATTATTAGGTAAGGCCCGCAAACGCTTAAAAACAGACTGGATAGCTGATTTCGTTGGAGACATGTTCGCCATTTTGTATGATGTGAATAAGTACGTCAGCTGTAATGACGTCAGTACCTCTGTAATAAGGCGCTTATTCCGAATCGTAGACGCAAAACTAGGTGCATCGTAAAATCTAAGTTATATGATGTTAAATATAATTAATTATAAAACAAAGTATTGTTTTAACTTGAACAAGTAATTTAACAGTGCTTAATTGAATATTTATTCAAATAAATTATTATTGAATGGTACTAGTCTTGGATGGTAAATGTTGATACAAACTCTGCATGATATTTGTTGTTGTTATGGCCGATGCTACGAGTATGAAACCGGTTCGCGTAGCAACACTCTTTTCACAGTATGTTAAAAACCGACTCTCGTATTCTGCTTGAACTCGGCTTTTAAATATGAAAATGTCACTTATCCACCCTCTTCCTTTCTCAATTCTAGTGTGGGACCCTGGTGTATTATATACATTCGCTTATGACATTGACATGTGCTACTGGTTGCTGTTGTCGTAGGCGTTGACGTCACAGTTAATAGTGCTCATAGGGTCTATGTCTCCCAGGGTACTATCGGATTTGCGCCACCGGTTAGGGTTAGGCCGGGTTAGGGAGTAGGCGTAGGCGACTCCCTAGACTCGTTAGTGGAGTAGGCGAGGTACAGTCCGGCATATTAGATAGTACCAGGGTACCCTCCGATAGTACCCTGGGGGACATAGAGACTAGACCCTCTCAGCGTTAATAGTGCGATCTGGGAAATAGGGAGGTATTCTCCCTATTTACCGGCCAAGCTGCGGTAAATAGTGCAATCTGGGAAATTTAGGGAGATAGTCTCCCTAGTGAGATAGTTTTCCTATTTACCCTATTTCCCGGCCAAGCTGTGGTAAATAGTGCGACACGGGAAATACTGCTAAGTCGTTACGTTACTTACATCGCAGTATTTCCCAGCACTACAACGCCCCCTGCATGCGATCAGATGAATGAACACAAACAATAGACAAACAATAGGCTTTCTCCCTATTTCCCAGATCGCGCTATTTACCGTAACACTATCTTCCTACTCTAGTTTTAGTTTTACATTACCTTCCTGTTTCAACGTCTACTCCTTTACACCTACCTGGTCCTTACTTTAGGCTTAGCGTTCACACACGTGACACAGTTGTTCTCCCACATGTTCTGTAACAATCTGATCGATTTTGCAGTCTGAGCAATGCAATTGCATGCGCTTTTTTGCATTCACATTATGTAAGTAATTTATTGTATAAGCAAAGTTTACAGTGATAAACGTCCATCATGTGACACAGACCTGCAGACAGCCTCTGGCAGTGACGCTGAGAGGGTCTATTTCTGCTGGAACGTACCCTGGGTACGATCCGGTATACCGGTACGTACCCTGGTACTATCTAATATGCCAGACCGTACCTCGCCTACTCCACTAACGAGTCTAGGGAGTCGCCTACACCTACTCCCTAACCCTAATATAACCCTAACCCTAACCATATCAGATAGTTACCAGGGTATGTTCCGGCAGTACCCTGGGGTGCATAGACCCTATGAGCGGCAGTGACACCATGCCACCAACGTGTACGTCGTGCCGTCACACTTCAAGTGGCTGGTGCATGGTGCCATAATTTGCAAATTTGCTTCTTCCGCTACTCTGCACTGACTGAGCGACTCCCCCTCTGCCTACTGGCTATACCTTCTTTCTCTGTATGCTGGATTCTTAATCTTAAATATATCCCTCTTTAAATATTATTATTTTTAGCTCATCTGACGTAGTCAGGTGCAGCTTGTAGAATCGCATGATTGTCCGTACGTCCGGCCGTCCGTGCGTCCGTCCGTCAACAGTTGGGCACAAATCTTAACCGCTCGACGTACGGTCACGATATTCGGGACGTGGGGGGGGAACCCCAAAAAGAGTTGGGATGTCGATGCTGAGGGTTAAAGGTCAAAGGTCAAGAGGTGTAAAAGAAGGAACATTCACTCCTTAACTTAAGGTATAGGGAAGAAATGCAGAATTGCGGCACAAATCTAAACGGCTTGACCTAGGCTTGTGATAGTCGGTGTATAGCATCATGGTAGGAAAAGCCATCACTGTGCCGAAATTGGAGGGCACAGGTCAAAGGTCAATGGGGCACAAGGCAGATTTTAAACATTTTCTGAGGGCATGGTCTGACGGAGCGATTGAAAAACTTTTTTGTTTCAGCGGTGACTTACCATTTTTATGGCTTTATTGAAAGGACCATGAAATGTACTTTCCGCTGACATGCGAAGAGTAAGTGTCGGATAACCTTTTGACCCTCAAGAGGAGGGTTAAACATGGATTTGTTTACTGTTAGAAACAATTTGATTGCCGGGTTTGCTATTATTAGAGCCCATGCCTGTGTGAACGTGAGGCTACAGTTGCACAGTTTAATTGCAAAGGCAAAAGTTTGTTGAACAAGGTTTATGCTCCTTAGATCATATTATTTTCTAAAGCAGTCTGTCTATAGCACCCTGAAGGCTGAATCAGTGAATGCTCATGTGGGTAGGCAAAAACACGGAGCAGCCCATGGCTGGCACGCTTCTAATCATAATTGTTGCCTGCCAACCTGCAATGCACATGTGTCTGCAATGCATAGAGATTAGGTGGGTGCGAAAGTGTAGCTGATATATTTGTTCCAATTGGCTACGAAAGTCAAACAAGAATAAAGAAGACTTATGTATAAGACGTCTTGCTATGCACAAATGAATTTATCAGCAGAACACCAGACACCAGATGAGCCCTGTCGCACTGCGGCACTTGTTTAAAGTATATCTACAGGGTTCTTGTTAACTTTTGACAAAGCAGGTAATTTGACAATGAATAGCAGGTAACTGTTTTTCCGGCACCGACGGTAGGGCGAGCGGCGAAGGCGCGAAGCACTGCTAGGGGAGTCCGGGGGCATGCACCCCCGAAAAAAAAATTCTGATTTGACCCACAAATAGCCTATTTTGTTGGGTATGGGTTCTAGAATTTGGTAGTTTAGATATTAGGTTTTTAGCTCATCTGACATAGTCAGATGCAGCTTGTAGAATCGCATGATCGTCCGTGCGTCCGTCCCGGCGGTTTATGTCTGTGATCGTACGTTCGCTGCGGCCGTCGACGCCGTGCGTCAAGCAGTTTGGGCACACTCTAAACCGGTCGACGTACGGTCACGATATTCGGTCGTTGGGGGATCGTCAAACGAGTTGGGATGTCGAAGCTGGGTCAAAAGGTCATAAGGTCAAGCGGTGTAAGAAGGGAACTTCACTCGGCTACAGTCCTTAACTTCCCAGTATAGGTAGGAAATGCATATTGCGGCACAAATCTAAACGCTCGACCTAGGCTTCGGTGATAAGTCGTGTATAGCATCATGGTAGGGCACACCCACACTTTGTGCGAAATTGGAGGTCCCAGGTCAAAGGTCAATTGGCAGCGAGGCAGATTTTAAGACTTTCTGAGGACAATGGTCTCCGGAGCGATTGGAAAAAACTTTTTTGTTTCAGCGGTGCCATAGGCATTTTTTCATGGCTTATTGAAAGACCATGAAAATGTCCCTTCTGCCCTGGACATTCAAGAGTCATGTCGGATAACCTTTTGACCCCTCAAGAAGGAGGGTAAACATGGCTTTGTTGACTGTTACAAAGAGTGCACTGCTTTTTGCTATTTAGAGCCCCTCCCCCCGCGCCGACTCCCGCTTCCCCTCCCCACCTCCCTTCCCGCCCTTCCCGCACTCATCCCCACGCCCTCCCCCCACCTCCCCCCTACCTCCCTGCTGGCGCATAGTGGGCGTGTCCTAACATGATTGTGGTAACGCAACTGCGTGTCTTGCATATCTCGCCGCCTAACCAATGGTACTTCGCACCGACTGAAATTTTTGACGTTTATAATCGTACGCACAGACCTCAGATGAGCCCAGACGCTCTGCGGCTCTTGTTGCTATTAAGTATCTAGTATAAAAAGAAAAATCATAAATGTAAAGTAAAAGTCCAGGTAACAGTGTATTTCCTCTTTATTTTAGTAGTATCTGCCAAGTTGAGAATTCAATTATCACTGCATTTTTATAATCTGAATCCACATTATAATGTAATGAAACTTCCGCTTGTCTGTGTGTCCGCACGAGGGTAAACAAACTCGCCGGCGACCCGCCCGTGCACAGAGTTAGTCTTGGGTTGGAAGTATTTAAAATAAACTTCGTTTTTTCAAATATGGATTAAATATTTTACCGCCTTTAGTGGGAGTTTCTCTCAAATTGATAGCCGGTAACAAATTGCGCGATAGGCGGTAAAAATAACCGGTTACCGGCTATTAACAAGAACCCTGATCTATCTACCTACCTATCTATCTATTATCTATCTATTTATCTCCGTTTCTTAAACTTTTTAGCATTGAGTAATTGTCAAGAGTGACAGATCGACGTAACCATATAGATGTGAGATCTCTCTCTCTCACTCTCCCTCTCTCTCTCTCGCTACATATATATATATATATATATATATTATATATATACTTTATTTATAGGGCTGCAGGGAAAAATGCTATAAAATATATGACATGCAAGCCAAAGTATGTGGCTGAATTTTTTATGTACGTGCATCTAATAAAACTCATGGTGTGAATGTAAGTGTGCCTTTGTCTCACACATTTCCTCCCAATCTATTACCCCATTAACAACCATCTACTTGTATACTTGGTATCTCCATCCACTGGGAATGCGCATTACTGAGATGGAAAAGACACTGCATTATGTAACGTAGCTTTTAAAACTTGGTGCATATTTTTCATGGCTCCTTTTTCACTCTATTTAATTTATTCACTAACTATAATTCCAGGTCAATTAAATGCCTGGTCAGCTGCGTGGATATATATTTAGATGCAGTTGAAAGATTGCCAGCAAACATTAAAGACAGACTACTACACCTAGTGTGCAAACGTGGGCGCATCAGTGATGGCAATATTGGCAAGGTAGGCAACATTGGCAGGGTAGGACAGGGTAGGTGATTATGGCAAGGTAGGCAACACTGACAGAGTAGGGAGGTGGTAATGGTAATGTAGGCAACACTGGCATGTTATGTGATAGTAGCAATGTTGGCAACATTGACAGGTTGGGGGTGGTAATGGCAATGTAGGGAAAATGGGCAGCGTAAGTAAGTGGAACATGGTAGACGTAAGAGAAAATTTGCTCAGATTTTTCATTCTTGTAACTTAACGATGTTTCTGTCAGTGAGTGGTAACGAGAAAAAGTCTGTGACAAAAGTCAAGACTAAAGTGTTTCTGACACCGACACCCTGATTTGGAAATCTTCAGGCAGGAGATAGGAATCCTCTCTCTATTACCACTGTGAATGTGCATTATCGAGTAGTACTCCTCTTATAAAGGGTTACAACTGAGTCACTTGTTTGCATTTTGTACTATAGGTATACAAGACTGCTATCACTCAAACCCATTGGCATATGAATGAATTTTTCGTGTATTCTACGCAGCAATGTTTTGGCAACACTTGCTATGGTGTTTGCTTCTGACATATTCTAGTTGCTGCATGCCCGCGTTCTGTCCCTCGATCTTAGTGAAGGGGATGTAAGTGACCACGGGTTGAAACATGTAGCCAAGTGTACCCTGCTACGCAAGCTCGACCTCAACTCCCTGAAACGGCCAAGGACAACCATCACGACGCAGGGTAAGTGATTCAGGTTAGGAGGGCTAGAGGGAATAGTAGGCTGTGTAGGCAGCTGCGATGGATTGACAGTTTGGATCATTTGTTTACCATGTGTTTCTTTGCTATATCCATGAGGACGATGTATGATCAACCTGTGCTAATCCATATATTGAACCTATAAAACCTAAACATAATGCTACACATGCAGATGTATAGGATGCAGGCTTAGGAATGCTATATAATTATGCACCAATCTGTTCATCTGCTTATTGCTAGAATATGTACTAAATTTGGTTTACTGCTGGCTTATGTCCCAAATTTGGTTTCTTCCTAATTACATGCCAAGTTTGTTTGAATTGAATGTTTTGAATGTGTAGCTGCTAAATTAGGACTATTCCTCGATTATCTATTAAATTTGACTAGTGGCTGGATTAGGTTGTATTTTGGTGGCGCCACCTATGTTGCAGGGATCCTGCAAGTCGTAAGCGCATGTCCACACCTGCACACCATCTGTCTCCGTCGCTGCATCAACATCACCGACGCCGCTCTGGTGGCGCTATCTCGGCACTGCCGTCGCCTCACAGCTCTTGATGTCGGAGGTAATTACAGAAATCGTGTTGATGCGTAGGTTTTACCGTGTAACTGTACGATGCAATAATCTATAATCTGTCATCTGTGGCATTGCTTGCAGGCTGTGCAGGAGTAACAGACGCGTCACTGATAGCTCTGGGACAGAACTGCCCTCTGCTGAGAAACATCAACTTCTCATACAGCGATGTAAGTCAACAGGTGGCAGCAGTGTCACGTGACTATTAGCACCGTCATGTATAGACCTAGCTTTACCTATGTGTAGCTCTTCGCTTTGCAACTGGCCTGTTAATCTACGTGTGGCTTCATACATAGAGCCTAACGTGGACGAATATATTCTTCCCTAAATATTTTTCCTAATTATAATCTGATACTATTTTAGGATTAAATACAGTAACCTCTAAATAGATAGCAATAGAGTCAGAATAGATAATATATAATTGTTAATAGAAATAGGTCATGCTTGTTGGGTCACAATTTATTGGGCAGCCAATGTCTGAGGTGTGGCTTAGAACATTACTGAGTGTATATTATTTCTGATGATTACAGGTAACAGATGCAGGTGTGCTGAGTCTGGTCAGTGGGACGTGTGCTGGTTCCCTCAATGTGAGTTATCATATGCTGTTACTAATACAGTGTAGATAAAATAATTATCTGTGTAGTCAGCCACGTGCTGGATTATAGCTCTACTTACCTAGCTCTTTACTCTGCCAAAGGGCCAGACTGGTTCCTGTCAAACAATCCTGTGTGTGGCGTAGCAAATGGCTACACAGATAGAACTAACTGGGTTTACTTACGTTGCTGTCAGTTTCATATCTATACTGAAACCAAAATGTTAGTGGTCACCTCTATGGAACGACCATCTCTTCATAAAGGTCGTCCATCGCTTCTTTCGGCATTTTCCCCAAGTGACAGTTATACAGTGAAACCACCTCAATAGTAAAGGCACCTGCAGGTCAAAAGATATTTTTGCCATTTCTCCATATACCAAAGAATATTTTTGGCATTTCTCTGATATATTCAGGTTTTACTGTATGTTCTTGTATGTGAGTAACTATGAGAGGTGGAGATGTTGTATGTGTGGTGTTAGCTTACACTATGTGTTAATGTTTACAGGAGTTACACATGAGTCACTGTGAGAGACTGACAGACGAAGCTGTGGAGGCTGTGATGTCGTACTGCACCAACATCAGCATTGTTGTGTTTGACGGATGTCACCGTATCACACGTAAGTAGGGTTGTGACACAAGCAGTGAAGGGGGTGACGCTTACGCAGGCAGCATGGCTGTAATGCAGGCAGCATGGCTGTAATGCAGGCAGCATAGCTGTAGTGCTGGCAGCATGGCTGTAAT